TTCTTTTCCGTCGTGTTGTTGGTTGGACAAGGATGATTACGGAAAGTATCCGAGTAATCGAGACCTGCAGTAAATAAATTCAGCATTATACTGCCTCAGTTTCTATTATTTAAAGACATGTATACTACTGATCGAAAAAAAATGCGTTTCTCATTGATCAGTAAATTCACAAGCCCTCGATTACTAAAAAGTTTACCTTAATTACGTTTATAATTCGCCTAACTTTTAGTCCTATCGATATCCTTTTATTGGACTCTGGTACGTCATTGAAAATGTAAATGTAATTCACTTTTAACCTGTCACCTGTCCTTTATCAAACGTTTTGCTTTAGAAAAATTCGCTCTAATTTTGAATTTCGTATGCATTTATTCATCGTTGCGTTTTCTTGACCAGCAGAACTAATAAAAAGAAAACAGTTCCATATTTCTAAGCACTCTGCTGGAGGACTATTTATAAACGCTGCGTCAGTGTTTTTTTTTTTTTGCGAATCTCTATGGTCGCCTAAAATCCTGCTTCCTGTAGACCTATAAATTGAAAAGAGTAACATTAATCTTATCTAGTTCGGTTTCTTCATGGGGTGTCCCATGTGCGCACTGCTTGTCGTTACTACCCTTTTATTTGTAAATTGATACATATCACTAAGGGCTATCTTAAGCTTACACATAGATTTTCACTTATACATGGGTTTCATTTCTTTAGAAAGGTATAATTACGGCATGAAGCTAGTAGCCTGTTAGAGCTATTAAGGATCAGCCATAACTTTTTCTTACCGTAATGGCCAGAATAGCCGTTTATAAGACAAAATCCTGAACTACTCTTATCAAGACTTAAAAAAACTATACCTCTAAATACCCAAATGTTCTTCAAACTCTCAGTCAACTGAGCTCACATTTGCTTTCTGCGCTGCCAAATTAAAACAGGCAGAGATATTTGAGAAAAAAAGTAACGTAGCCAGCTTTAGCTACTTTCTTCCATTTTTCTAGAAAAATTTGAAAATTCCAGATAGCAAGCGGCTAGACATAAAATCTAGATATTTGGATCTATGTTCAAATGTAGTTATGGTCATAAATGATTCAAAAAAGATTATAAAAGGAGTATTTATAACATAAAGAAGCTCGATCAAGAGTCTAAAAAAGAAATCCTCTTTTTGTTCACTTAACTGTCCTTTCGGAAATTAATCATTTTCCGACACTTTCTATTCACGCATAAGACATTGAATCCCTTATGAAATGACGTGATAGACTCCGCCTTCCATCAGTCACTTTCAAGGGCAGTTGGATGAAATTGCACACTCACCAATTCCCATAACGAACATAGCCAATCCCCATCCGACAGACGCAAAAAGACGAATTTTTCCAAACTGAAAATGAAAAATTAAGAAAATTCAAAGTGTTTTCCACCTGATTTGTGCTTAATTATGATCCATAGTAGGTATTTATTGGTTTGTAATATTATTCAAAATTCCAAAATAATTATAAACCAACAATTAAAATTGACTTTAGGATCTGATCACTACATAGCCTTTAATAGCGCGATTGAGTTGTAAGTGCCTCATAACATTACGAAAAGCAACGGTAACGCTTTCCCCTCAACCTTTTAAAAATCTAGCTCTAAGACTACATTTTTGGTAACTGATTGAGCTTATGAGCTAGAGCCCTATTAGCATCGGTTAAAAGAAATTCCATGAAATGTGCAAATAACATTTTGAAAACTCTTATCGCTCCCTTAATACCCGTATATGGTTAAAGGTACTATTTCATATTAGGCTTACCTCTTGAGGATTGTCCTTCGTGGCGCTGAGTGTGGCGGCATCCGCAAGTGGAAGTGCTGGTGATGAGAAGAACTCACCAAGGGCTATTAGAAGCAAAAGAAGCATAAAGGCCTGAAAGAAATCCGTAGGTTCAAGAAAATGTGAGAACCAAAGATTGACGATGTTTTCTGACAGTTCATTCAGACCTGTTCGACAGCTGGCTGTCGATAGACTCGCGTTGAGTGCGGAGGAGATACTAAAACGCCGTACTCGTTTTCATCATAGTTGCACACCTAAACATCGCAGAATAGGATTATCGTAAGGACCTGCTTAACATTTATCAGTAGATGGTGCAATCTACATTAATTGCTTCTCTGCATAGTTCAAAGCAATGACACCTATGAGACTAGAACAAGCGATATAACCCTTATCATTTGTTTATTCTTACCGTAAGGCAAATCTCTTTTAATGACAGTTGCTAGCTAACAAGACGTAAGGCAATTTACTGGTTTCACAATATATTATAAACCAAAATGTAGATGAAATTTAGCGATCACTTTCTGACGAGAAAAGTTGACAATGAGGAACTTTCATTGGATGACCGCTTAGATTTGCTCCTCTTTGAACTTGTCATTATTGCATGCTTTCTTCACATTTGCCTAAGGGAAAGATACTTGACCAGAGAAACAAAGAGTGAAGTGAACATTATCATTACTTATAATAAAGCGCTTATTTGTCTGTATGTGTATGTGTGTGTGTGTGTGTTTCACTGTCTGTCACGAAATTAGTTCATTTGT